CCATGCTTCTGAGCTAAGCTCAACTTCCAAGTCTGTTTCCCACCGAACCCTGGCCTTATCAGTTGTAACAAAATTCAAAGACAGTAATTTCCCATAGCACAGAGAAATGAATTTCTTTTTAGTGAGTGCATCTTCATTAAATTTAAGAAGAAAACTTTCGATAGGGTTCAAAACAGATTGGTTGATTGGGAATTTAAGAGAATTTACAAAGTGTCTCACTTGCAAAAACCCAAAAAGGTGTTTTTGTGCAATAGATCTTTTCTGACACATTTTTTTTTTACCTTGTGGCTTAATGATCTCCCCACAGCCACTTAGCAAGCAGTGAAATACAGCAGTAGAAGGTCTGGAAGTGAAACTAAAATAAATGGTCCCCTCTACAGTGAGAGATCAATCAATAACCCCAACCAATCACAAATGACAGTCCGATGTACCTGATTGGTTCCTGACATGTCAATCATGGTCGTCTGCTTGTCCCTCCCCCCTGCGTGCGTACCCTGACACTTGAATGAATGGATCCCCCAATGCTCGCGCAGGACGCCATGGCCGGAAGCTAGCCACTGTTATGCTACGTTCACAGCTAAAGCAGCAAGAGCAGCAAAAGTGCGCATGCTGCTTCATTTTTTATGCTTGTACCAGTTTAGTTCTGACAAAATCTGGTCAACCTTGCCAGGGTGACCAGATTTTGGTTTCTGAAAAGGAGGACACTTTTTTTCTGGGGGGGCGTGTTGATTGCTGCTCCCTGTTTTGACTATGTGCTGTACTGTAGTCGACCAAAATCCCAATTTCTGCTCTAGCTGCACAGTGGTGGTTCTGGGTCTGATGCACGTTGGGCGGAGCTACCCTATACTGTCTTTGCCTGTAACAATGGCAGCTATATTTGCTTTGATCAGTGGGTATAAAGTAGTTTGAATCTGTTTTGAAATGAGAAAGTCCACCTAAAAACATGGTCAGTGAAGTCAGTTCATCCAGATTACCATCCTGCATTCAAATATTTTTCCTGTGGGAGCTGCTCAGACCCCCTACACCGGCGGTGCGTTATCACTAGGAATCCCATTCAACAGCAGCCTTTGGCACGGTCACCTCCTTGCAGTTTGCCGCGGCGGAGGTGACCGGCTGGAAAGCGTTTTTCATGTCCGTAATGGAAACTGCAGGCACCAGGATAATAAAAGCGAACATGTTTTCCCAGCAGATTTTGGAATTTTAAGTTAATGTAGGCATTAATAAACTGTTTCAGAGGAGTGATCATGGTGCTCTGCATCATCAGCGCTGCTCTAAACACCCTGCAGTTAGCATGCGCGTTCATGTGTTTTGAAGGCGTGTTTTCGAGGGGTGTTCTGAAGGGAGAGTAATTGTTGTCTATGTTCAAAAAAATAGCTTGCTGTAATCATTTTTCCAAGATCTCCTACAGCACCTTTAATGTTAAGTGTTAAAATATAACATAAATATTTGTTATTTGTAAGCCTAAACAAGTTTATTTAACATGGTTTTCCCATTTCCATCTTTCAGGAGCACCAAAATATAGACTGTCTTTGTAGATCTTAAAAAAGATCCTTCGCTGTATTTTGTGGCTCAACAGTAGCTTATGGGGTGTTTGTGTTTTCCCTGCTGTGTAATTTAGTTGTTAAGGATGTGGTCAAAAGACATCCAGCCCTGACAACTCTTCACATCATACGCAGGGTGTGGCAGCTTGTTTGTACCAAACACAGGCCATAAAACTTGGGTGGCAGAGCTGAGGTCCACCGCCGCTAACACCTCCACTGCCGGCCTATGAATAAAAAGGAAATCATGTTGAAGTTTGGATAAAAGCCCAGTTTTTTCCATATTTCTGTATAGCTCCATCACAGAAACAGTTTTGTGGTTTTGGTCATTTTGTCAAAGAGTTAGGCCTACATATATTTTTTAAATAAAAAAGAGGAATGACGTGCATCTGACTGCAGGGATATTTGTAGGTACAGGTGTCCTAAATTTACAATCACAAAGAAGGTGATATCCACCTCACTAATTTGATTTTTAGCAATATAACATATAAAATCTAATGTGTCAATACTAGAATTTTTTTACAGAATTATTCTGGTTTGCTACTTTGTGGTTAACCTCTTTAGAGACAAATAAAACACATTTTCAGCCCTCTAATTTGTGTGTGTTATAACTGCTGCCCTATATCACATGGTTGCTTACTAAAAGGATTCTGGTAAAAATGTTCCAAACAACTTTAAGGAGATGCAGTAGATATGAGATAAAGAAAATAGATTACAAATTTAGAAAGTTGACCTTTAAGGCTGAACTAACATACTCTGGAAAATCTGCTGTATTTTAATCCTTCTCTGGTTTTTTATCAGTTCTAAAAGAGTTTTGTTGATTTTTTAATTTGCAAACAGGTATTAAATCTGCTCAAACCTTCTGTATTATATTCATTTCTGATGTAAGCATGTTCTCATATCAATTTTTTTAAAAATATTCACTTGTCATTTTAAAGTCATGCTATTTTTTTGGTTGTTCACAGGTGACAGGGGAGATCGAGGCTTCAAAGGGGAGAAAGGTGATCGAGGAGACAGAGGAGATCGAACAGGTGAGGGCCAGTTGGGACATTTTGTTTTTTCTCTTTAGTCCATGTTTGTGTCTCCAAATTATTGCACGTTAGCCTTGTTTGTAATTTCACAACAAATGTTTGTCTAGCTTAGAACACAATAACTTATAATGTATGCTGCACAAACCTTCAAATAGCTGATGATGTCATAATATTACAGGATCAATTTGTGACAGTTTATAATTAAAAAGAACTAGCTTAAAGTTAAGTTCACACAGATAATAATGAATTAGCTCATGTTCGAAAATTAAGTTTACTAACCGATAAATTAACTAAGTTCATTTGGTAAATTAAACCACAATTCTACTCAATAGAACCTCAATATTCACCCTTTAAATGTGTGATTATAGTATATAGAAAGAAATAGAAAATACTTGATGCAGTCAAGGTGTACTGTATGTGCAGTGAAGCCTTTATTTAGGTTCTGCTGATCTGTATCAAAAATGATCTCTTACATTTCTCATTCAGTAGCAGATATTTGAAGTGGATGTGGCTTGTGTACGGACTAGTTTTTTGAGTTTTTTTTTTTATGTCCGAGTCTAGTTCGTAAACTCTCCCAAGTCCTCTGCAAAACTGACATCATAGTAGTTGATTATCCAAGTCAACTACTTTGTAGTCTGTATAATTTTTACTTATTTATATAGTCAGTGCATTTCTGCAGTACAAGTGCAATAATCTATGTCAACTACTGTGTAGTCTCCCTTTAGCTCTCTACTCTATAAATATTTTTATATCTAAAGGAAACGTATTCCAGGACATTACAACCTGTTTTAATGCTTTTTGTACTATATACACTGTTTTTATGTTGCGTCCTGTATTTTTACCTTTAATGGAGTTAAATCTGTCCTTTGTACTCTATACAAGCTCCTGGAACCAGAATTTCCCTGAATGAGTTATCCCAAGGGATTAATAAAGTTCCGTCTAAGATGAGTCTGAATCGCGCAGACTAGTACTAGCAGTAGACATGCTGGTCTGTCATGTTGTTTGCTGTAATAAGGGCAGTAAAACCTGAAGTTATCCAATGAAAAGAGTCATTATGAATTGAACACGAACGTGAGCTGTATGTGTTGCTCACTATTCTCAGAGAAAACGTCGTTCTCATTTACGTTTATCACTTAAAAAGTGATCCGTTCAGATCAACGTTCACTAAAAATATGAACGTCTTTAGTGAACGCCGTTCATTGATCGCGTTCATGCACAACATTGACCAGGATTGTCTTGGATGTTCAGATTGACTACATGGATAGATTCTGCATTTGCAGGATTCATTAAACATGCCTTACACTTTAATAATCCTGCTGACAAACAAATCATACAAATCAAATCCTGTTGTTTCACTGTGATTTTGGTTTTAATTTGTATTTTGAATCCTCCTGAATTCCCTATTTTTTTGAAGGTCTTTCTGTATTCAGTTCATTCCTGCTTTTGTTAATATAGGTCTTGCCATACTTGAACATTTTCTATATGTTTAATTTCTTACATGTATCCTATGTTTTGTTGTCTGTAATTTGGTTTATCTAGTTAAGTCAGTGTTAGTCTTTTTTCTCTGTGGTTAATATTTTCTTTTGAGTCTAGTTTCCTCAGTCTGCCGGTTTAATCACCTGCACACCTGTTTTAATTCCCCTGGTTAAGTTTATCTGAATCTAATGTCACTCTCCACACTTGCCTCAGTGTCTAAGCTCTGTAGTTTTTATAGTTTTGTTTTGGTTCCTCCTGTCTGTCTATCTTGGTCTTCATGTGCAGTATATCTTTGTCTGCTGTGATCATCATCATCCCAAGTTGTTCTATGTATTGTTGGTCAAACTCTCGTGTTTCTATACATGACAACCTAATTTAAGAATTGAAATGTCAGAAAGGCTTGTTTAATAGACCTAATATTGCAAATCAATTTGAATCATTAATATAAGTCTATTCCAACACTGGAGGAAATGTTTAAGCTCTTAACTTACAAAATTCCAAACAGCATTAACAACACAAGCCAAAGTTAATCAGATACTGCTCTTAAAAGCTTATGATAGACCTTACAGTATGTCTTTGTAAAATGCTAAATAAAAAAATAAAAACATAAAAATCCCAACCTTTAATTAATAAATGTTTAGTGGAGTAAAGATCTAATGTTAGGAAATACTGAAAAGATATTGTTTTCAATTTATGCTTCTCAACTTTAACAAAGTAATCAGAGTATTACTCTTTACCTAATGTTTACACATGACCTGACAAAAAAGAAAATTACTTTTTTAGCTTTTGTTCGAAATGGACATACTTCTAGGGTAAGCCATATGTGTTTGGATCCTCAAGACAGAAAGTGGCAAGGAAAATAACTGCATTTATCTAACACGCCCTTATCTAGAATTGGAAAAATACTTTAAATGATTTGATCTTTCACCTCAATGCTGGATGAAGAATGACATTTATCTTGAAACCACCCATTGTGAGGATGTTATAGCAGAAAAAAATGCAGCTTAAGTTTAACATATCTCCATAAAAATCACTATTTTAATAGTTTTATTAGACGTCTTAGCCAGAGATGCCAACAACTGAGATAGCTTGCTGTACTTTTATATATGTCACTGATCAGTGTTTGATCCCAAACAACTAAATGCAGAGAAAGCTGCAAAAGCAATGACTTTCATATGGTGTCCAAAAAGTTCTGTCTATGCAAAAACTGAGGCTTTATGATCTGTTTTTCTTTTTAATACACTGGTAAATTAAAGGATATCATGATGTGTTAATAGGTACAATCTGAGAACAGTTAAGTATGTGCAGATGCAACGAAAACAATAAATGACTGGCTGCAAATGGAGTTCATTTTTATTATTTCCTTCCTTCAGATATTTTTCTTTGTTACGTCACTACAGCTGTTCTGCATGTCCAGCATGTGCCATGGGGTCATGCTCACATCAGAAAGCCTTTATATTTTAGCCACATAAGCCGTCAAAGATCAGTTCTTTCCTCACATCATTAACCACACGTGTGTGTTTGAGGTTTCACAGAAAGAAAAGTGGTCTAAGGCCGCCTGCTGTAGGCTGGAAGAAATATCAAATAACAACCTCATACGTTCTTCTGTCACAGCTCTCATGGGTGACTTATTAATAGTTGTTTGACTTGTATTTTTTTTTTACACTTCAAAAAGTATATATATTTTGTACCTGAGAGAGCACTTGAGTTAATTCACACATGCTGGATATTTATACAAAATCAGCCTGTTTCATTGAACATTATGTCATTGGAAGGATCAAATACTGCAGCTCTGTTGAAAGCCTCAATAGCTCAAACTAGGATTTTTAAAAATCTCCAGTTCAGATTTCAGTATTTACAGCTGTTATATAAGGGGAGTAAATTTGGTTCTGGACTGGTTGAACATGCTATTTGGCTGTTTTTTTTATTTCTACTTACACTTAATATTATTTCTTTTGATTATTTATTATTTCTTTTGCTTTAGAGATTCTTAAAACAATTGAAAGAATCAATAAGAACGAGGCATATATTAATTTTGCAGACAAGCAAGTAAAAGTAAATCACATCAGTTAAACTTTCAGTCTTTATTTTGATTCCTTTAGCATACCAGATCATTGATTCACTGAAAACTCATGTCCATGGCTTTCTAGAAGACACCTGGACATTTTAGGACAAAAAGGAATACTACTTAGGAATTATTTACAACTTTGTCTGAAATATAAATTCCATCTGAAGAAAAGCAATCCCAGTCTATGATCCTGCCACCATGTTATTCCATTATGGGTTTGCTGTCATTCCAGTGATGCCCAAAGCTAGTGTTCCAAATGGGGTATTTTAAATTATGACTATAGGTTTCAGTCTGATTTCTTCAGCCTATAACACATTCCCCCACAATTAATTTGAACATTTTAGTTTAGACTAGATGACTTATGTCTCTCATCTTCTCAAGACATGTAGAAACTCAGGATATTCAGCATGACCAGTACTAAGCAGAAATATCACCAGTTCCCTTCAGACTGCCTCTAGAAAGCTTCTGAGACCATTGTATTTTAGCGTTTCATGAGTTTGGGAGAACTGTTTTTGGGTTTTTTGTTTGTTTTTTTTATTCCTCTATGCCACATTTTTGTAATTTGCAGTCTCTGTGTCATAATTCTGTCCCGTCTGGTACCTATTTTTATTGGACCCTTTTTCATTTCACTTTTACTTAAAAAAAAATATCACAGCTTAATTGCACAGTTTAAATGTCACATACATTCAAAAATTTAGAAATCATCATTTAGCAGAATAAAATTTTTTATTTTTACAAAAACATGCTATTAAAAACAGCCATTTGCTCAGCTTTTAGAGCCACTGTATACACATGCACTCTCTGTAAAACAGGTAAGGCTCTAAACACAGGGTCTGCACCCTGCAGCTCTGGAGCCACAAGTGGCTCTTTGTAACTTCTGCAATCGTTCTTAAAAGTCGCCTAAAATTATGTAAAAAAGCAACTAATATAGTGTTAGGTTTATGTTTTATACATCATTTGCACTGTTACTTTGTCAGCCAGATTAGAGAGAGTAGATGGCCTTCCTTCACATTGTGGATGTCACTGTGTGTACGGAGGTCATCTAATCAGGACAGCCTTCATGTCTTTAAAAATACACAGGATATGGGCACATCTTGGAGCCGGTCTGATAGAGGAGAGATATCTGTAACCCTGAGGCATAGAGGCAAGCTGCATATAGGTCAGGGCATTGATGGCGTGTCAGTTTCTGATACGGACAAATAAGCATCCACCTGATGCAACACATAGACCCATGAGCTATAAGAAGCAGAAGATGACCTTGTTCGGGGCTCAATCTTTGCCAGTTAAGAGTAGTAAATAACTTGCTCCCAGGAAAAGAACCGTGAGGAAGCCCTTGGGGCGCAATGGCTTTTTTAAGGGACATAACTTCCTCATTTAACAGTAGTATAATAACAATTATCAGCATTAGGAGTTTTTGGGGGGTTTTGAGAACATTTGATTGAATTTTCACAACTGA